GACCCTCCTGACCGCCCGCTCCGGGGGTCTCTGCGCCTTCACCTCCAAGCGCAGCAGCTGCGTCGGCTGCCGGGCCCTGCTGCCCCACCACGGTGAGAAACCCCGCTAATTAACTAATTAACGAGCCCCCGCCCTAATTAACCTGAAATTCACTCCCTCAGGATGGAGTTTAGGCGGTTTTACCGAAAAAAAAGGGGTCAAAAATGGGTAAAAATCCCCAAAATTTGACCTGAAAAATGGGATTCTTGGGATTGAAGACCCCTCCTCTAATTAATCACACCAATGCCTGCACTAATTAATGAGTTCTGCACTAATTAACCTGAAATTCATCCCCTCAGGATGGAATTTAGGTGGTTTTTACCAAAAAATGGGGTCAGAAATGGGCAAAAAAACGCCAAAATTGGGCGTTAAGAAATGGGATCCTCGGGATTAAAGACCTTTCCTCTAATTAATCACTCCAATTCCTGCCCTAATTAATGAGTTCTGCCCTAATTAACCTGAAATTCACCCCCTCAGGATGGAATTTTGGCGGTTTTACCAAAAAAAAAAAGGGTTAAAAATGGGTAAAAATCCCCAAAATTTGACCTGAAAAAATGGGATCCTCATGATTGAAGACCCCTCCTCTAATTAATCACACCAATGCCTGCCCTAATTAACGTGTTCTGCACTAATTAACCTGAAATTCATCCCCTCAGGATGGAATTTAGGCGGTTTTACCAAAAAAATGGGTCAAAAATGGGCAAAAATCCCCAAAATTTGACCTGAAAAAATGGGATCCTCGTAATTAAAGCCCCCTCCTCAAATTAACCAACCCTAATTAACAACCCCAACGCTAATTAACGATCTGGACCTAAGATTAACCCTTCCATCCCCGAAATTAATCCCCTCTCCCCAAAAACGGGGGTCCCAAAATCCCCAAAATTCAGCGCAAACACCCCAAAAACTGGGGGGGGAGTGGTCCCAAATCGAAGCCCCTTCCCCTAATTAACCTAAAATTTTAATTACAATTACTATTAATGAATTAATCTCCCCGTATTTAACCCATCCCGCCCAACAAGGGGGGTGCCGGAGCCCCAAATTAAGGGAAATTAATGAGAATTAATTAAATCGCCGCAGGTGCAGTTTGCGATTTCTGCCGCCAGAGGGAGTCCGAGCTCTACCAGAAGGAGGTGGGGGCGGGGCCGGGGAATTTTGGGGTCCGAATTTGGGAATTTTTGGGGTTTTGGGGTCTCAAAATCGGGATTTTGAGGTTTTGGGGTCCCGAATTTGGGGTTTGGGGTCCCAAATTGGGGAATTTTGGGGTTTTGGGGTCTCGAATTTGGGGTTTGAGGTCCCGAATTTGGGGGATTTTGGGGTTTTGGGGTCTTGAATTTGGGGTTTGGGGTCCCGAATTTGGGGGGTTTTGGTCCCAAAATTGGGAATTTTGGGGTCTCGAATTTGGGGTTTGAGGTCCCGAATTTGGGAATTTTGGAGTTTTGGGGTTTCAAAATTGGGGAATTTTGGGGTTTGGGGGTCCCGAATTTGGGGTTTGGGGTCCCAAATTGGGGAATTTCGGGGTTTTGGGGTCTCGAATTTGGGGTTTGGGGTCCCGAATTTGGGGAGTTTTGGGGTTCTAAATTGGGGAATTTTGAGGTTTTGGGGTCTCGAATTTGGGGTTTTGGGTCCCGATTTTGGGAATTTTGGGGTCCCTAATTTGAGAATTTTGAGGTTTTGGGGATCCAAATTGGGGAATTTTGGGGTATTTGGGTTCCAAATTTGGGGTTTGGGGTCGTGAATTTGGGGGATTTTGGTCCCAAAATTGGGAATTTTGGGGTCCCTAATTTGAGAATTTTGAGGTTTTGGGGTCTCGAATTTGGGGTTTTGGGTCCCGATTTTGGGAATTTTGGGGTCCCTAATTTGAGAATTTTGAGGTTTTGGGGTCTCGAATTTGGGGTTTTGGGTCCCGATTTTGGGAATTTTGGGGTCCCGAGTTAGGGATTTTGAGGTTTTGAGGTTCCAAATTGGGAAATTTTGGGGTAGTTTGGTGCCGAATTTGGGGTTTTGGGGTCCCGAATTTGGGAATTTTGGGTCTCAAAATTGGGATTTTGAGGTTTTGGGGTTTCAAAATTGGGGTTTTTGGGTTCTAAATTGGGGAATTTTGGGGTGTTTGGGTTCTGAATTTGGGGTTTGGGGTCCCGAATTTGGGAATTTTGGGGTTTTGGGGTCTCGAGTTTGGGAATTTTGAGACTCAAAATTGGGATTTTGAGGTTTTGGGGTTTCAAAATTGGGGTTTTTGGGTTCTAAATTGGGGAATTTTGGGGTGTTTGGGTTCTGAATTTGGGGTTTGGGGTCCCAGATTTGGGAAAATTGGGGTTTTTGGGGTCCCAAATCTGATTTTTGGGGTTATTTTTGGTTGGTTTTGGGCTATTTTAGGATATTTTTGGAATATTTTTGTCCCCAGGTGTCCCAGGTGTGGCACCTGGAGGTTATTTTTGGTTATTTTGGGATAATTTTTGGGTTATTTTAGGGACATTTTGGGTGTTTTTGTCCCCAGGTGTCTTTTTGGGGTGTTTGGGTTCTGAATTTGGGGTTTGGGGTCCCGAATTTGGGAAAATTGGGTCCCAAATTTGGGAATTTTGGGGTTTTGGGGTCCCAAAATTGGGAATTTTGGGGTTTCAAAATTGGGGTTTTGGGGTTCTAAATTGGGGAATTTGGGGGTTTTGGGGTCTCAAATTTGGGGGTTTTGGGTCCCAAATTGGGGAATTTTGGGGTTTTGGGGTCCCGAATTTGGGAATTTTGGGGTTTTGGGGTCTCGAGTTTGGGAATTTTGGGTCTCAAAATTGGGATTTTGAGGTTTTGGGGTTTCAAAATTGGGGTTTTTGGGTTCTAAATTGGGGAATTTTGGGGTGTTTGGGTTCTGAATTTGGGGTTTGAGGTCCCGAATTTGGGGGGTTTTGGTCCCAAAATTGGGAATTTTGGGGTTTTGTGGTCTCGAGTTTGGGAATTTTGGGTCTCAAAATTGGGATTTTGCAGTTTTGGGGTTTCAAAATTGGGGTTTTTGGGTTCTAAATTGGGGAATTTTGGGGTGTTTGGGTTCTGAATTTGGGGTTTGAGGTCCCGAATTTGGGGGGTTTTGGTCCCAAAATTGGGAATTTTGGGGTTTTGTGGTCTCGAGTTTGGGAATTTTGGGTCTCAAAATTGGGATTTTGCAGTTTTGGGGTTTCAAAATTGGGGTTTTTGGGTTCTAAATTGGGGAATTTTGGGGTGTTTGGGTTCTGAATTTGGGGTTTGGGGTCCCGAATTTGGGAAAATTGGGTCCCAAATTTGGGAATTTTGGGGTTTTGGGGTCTCAAGTTTGGGAATTTTGGGTCTCAAAATTGGGATTTTGAGGTTTTGGGGTTTCAAAATTGGGGTTTTTGGGTTCTAAATTGGGGAATTTTGGGGTTTTTGGGTTCTGAATTTGGGGTTTGGGGTCCCAGATTTGGGAAAATTGGGGGTTTTGGGGTCCCAACTCTGATTTTTGGGGTTATTTTTGGTTGGTTTTGGGCTATTTTAGGATATTTTTGGAATATTTTTGTCCCCAGGTGTCCCAGGTGTGGCACCTGGAGGTTATTTTTGGTTATTTTGGGATAATTTTTGGGTTATTTTAGGGACATTTTGGGTGTTTTTGTCCCCAGGTGTCTCAGGTGTGGCACCTGGAGGTTATTATGGGATATTTTTGGGTTATTTCAGGATATTTTTTGGGTTGTTTCAGGTTATTTTGGGTTCTTTTATGATATTTTGGGTTATTTCAGGACATTTTTGGGTTATTTTGGGTGTTTTTGTCCCCAGGTGTGGCACCTGGAGGTTATTTTTGGTTATTTTGGGATAATTTTGGGTTATTTTAGGACATTTTTGGGTTATTTTGGGATGTTTTTGTCCCCAGGTGTCCCAGGTGTGGCACCTGGAGGTTATTTTGGGTTATTTTGGGTTATTTTGTGTTATTTTAGGATATTTTAGGACATTTTTGGGTGTTTTT